TAATGAAATATAAATTTTTTTTTTTCCAAATAAAAAAAAAAAAATAATAACAGTATACGATGACGCGTATATGTTCGTTCTTTATTCGAAGAAAGAGAATAGAATACGACTGATCACCACTAGTGAGCGAAGACGAATGATGAGCTGACATGAGATTTTCGTGCTCGGAAATGCATTTTTATTGCTCAGAAGTGGTTATATATCACTTGGAAAATCATCTTTGAGAAAATGGGACGTGAATGGATGTGGGTCTGCATATGGCGGTAGGATGTTAATTATGATTTAGCCTGCACTCGCATCCACGCCCATACCTCACACCGACACCTTGTTCGAAAATTTTTTACAGATGATTGAAATGCATCCAAACAAAAGTTTAGATCGTATTGTCTTTATTCATATAAAATTGGCTCGTACCTATGTCGAATTGAACAATGACGAACGAGCACCATCATTGGTTGAAGGTCTACGACGAAACTCTTAGAGTAGCTCACTTCGACTGTGATGCGTATCAGCTGCATATTCTGAGGCGTATATGCGAATTTATTTGTCTTATCTATTTGAAAATAAATGATAAAAAACCAATGATGCATTACTTACGTGAACATGTAAAATACAATGAGCAACATATACCAGATGTAATAGCTGAATCAATGGCGGACATATCTTGACGCTCCAGATTTCGAATGTCGCCTAACGTGTCACGATGTTTTTCTGGAAACAATAAACGACGATCAATTGATTCTGATTCCTGGCCAAAGATCACCACAGTTGTTTTTGGGAGTGTGGGTGGGATGTTGGTGTGGATGAATGGAATAGAAGGCTCACACCCACAAATCCCACCCACACCCACAAACCCAAGGGGGAAACAACTGACTTTATGACTTAGATGATCTAAATGATCTAAATGATCTACGTGATCTAAATGACTTTACAGTCGTAAAAGTCAGTTGTTTTCCTCTTGGATTCTGCTCATGTTCACTGCGGCTGCCGAGTTTCCGTTAGGCTAATGAAACAGGGAAATAATTTTCCATGGTCTAACTGTTATCGACATTCATAAATATGAAGATCCTCAATGCTTAAAATCGAAATTGCAACGTAATCTGGTCCATTATTATACGCATGATATTTTTGAAACTCAAAAAACCGTCGTCATGACAATCGACGAGTATGAAAAATAATCAGACATTATTGCTTTTCTAATTCTAATTCGCTCATCCACTCTAAATGCGTGTCATCCTCACTGAATTGTGTATATTCAAAGAAACTCTGTGAAAAACTCATATATTCTACAGAAACTGAATGGCATGAATATAATTCACATATAAGGAATCAAATCCAAGAACTGGACGCTATTTGGTCTTATATTTTAGCTGTGGGGGAATCCAATGAGCCTAAGAAGGTCCTAATAAGATTCGCGACCGTAATCTATACACTAAGAGCTATGATTGTTTTACTGGGATTTTGGCGTATTCGTTGAAATATTGAATTGCAAAAAATGAGGTCTGAAATTTTTATCTAAGATACGTTTCATAGACTTGATAATACTCTAAAAGTTTTAGTTAACAACAATATTTCTTTATCAAGATAGTGAGTATTCATGTAAACTCGGCTTGCGTGCGAGGTCGTTAACAAATAGTTAGGTTTTGAAGATCCAACATCACAACAAAAGAACATTCAAGTTGCAGTTAATACTTTCAGGCAGCTATATGAACTACCAGACTTACGTAAGAAGAAAATTGAAGACGTGAAATTCACAACTCAATATTCCCGATGAATATATCTACGGATACGCAAGAAATTTACCAAAGGAGTCCTAACATTTGACCCACAGGATATGACCACGAACAGTGGCGAATTCAGGTTTCTGGGAGAGGTGGAACGATGAAAAAAAATGAATTTGAAGGCCCATTGGAACTAGTAATTACAAATTAGTTTTTCGTTCGTTGTTGATAGTAAAACTTCTGACAGAAGGACCGATTACTTCATTGTTCTTCTGTCTAAATTCGCCACTGGTCACGAGTTAGACTAGGGTTTTCTTAGTTTCATTGAGTCCCACGCATAACTAGAACATGAAGTCGAAGAGCATCTTACAGTTGAATATGTTTCTCTGTTAGTCTCGTTTTCAATATTTTCACTTTGAAAATAGTCGTCGCTTTTCTCATTTCTAGTTTTTCCATGTATTCATGATCACCAGATTCTCTAATAATATTTATTCATCTACTTTTTGATAGAAAGTTGAATGTTCGTTTAATTTTAAATTGTAGTTTCATTATTGTTCACGTCAATATCATGTGGATGAAGAACCTTAGATTAAATGTGATTGTTGAAGATCACGTTGTTTTCTAATCAAGAACGACATATTGCAAGAGGCGGTAATAAGATAGACGTATTATGAACCAAATCGAACGATAGACTAGTTGACCTACGTGTTGTTCAGCTGAACATTTAAGCTGAAAGCGACAAGCCAACATAAAACAGGGATGATTGTTCTCTTGGATATCTCCTAGCATATTATAAATTTGGAAAATAGTGAAAATCGAAGTCTCAAAATATAACGAGACACAAATCGAAATATAAGAAGATAGACTATGAAGATTCTCAATCTTCCAGATCATTTAAGTCATAAAATCATAAAAATCATTGAAGTCCTAAAGTTAGTTGCTTTCTCCTTGCATGAGATGCTAAGCATCTTGGCTCCACGACTGCTTTCGCTATTTCTCAATGTAACATGTAGAAATCTCAAGTAATAGTGGGATATAAAGCAAGATACATGATGAAAAACAATAATAATCTTCGATCTTTCAGATCATTTAAGTCAAAAAAAGTCATTTAAAGTCATTTAAATGATTTAAGTCATAAAGTCAGTCGTTTTGGGTGTGGGTGTGGGTGTGTGAGTGTGGATGTGAGTAATGTTTCGTCACACCCACACCCATCCACACCCACACCCACACCCTAAATTGCACTTTTCAATAGTCTTTTTCGAAAGATCATTATTTAAATGATCAACAAGATTCTTTTCAGGTATGAAATAATGACTCAAATACTTTTTTTCAAAATATGTGATCGCATAATTGATGAAATCAATAAAACGATCATATAGTGTTTCATGTGCCCATTTATCTTTGTCTATAGATTCGCATGCCCCCCCCCCCCGCCCCCAGATAAGAACGCCACCCTATATTAGAAGGCAATTCCCAAATAGCTTCCATAAGGCGTAATAGAAGACCATGGAGTTTCCAGAAGATTTTTTTCAGAAATACAGAGGATTTTTCAGGTCTTAGTCCTTAAAAACCCACTTTTTATTTAAAAAACAAGGCTTTGTAATTAAAATTACTTTTTTTTCTAGTAGTGTGTGGGTGTGCACTCTTAAAAAAATCCGTATCCTAGAAAACAAAAATGGGCTCGGAAACCCATTCGGAAACTCTTTTAGGTTCTCGAGAGGGTTTCCGAATACTGAAAACGTTTCTAAAAATACTCTTTCGGTTTTCGAACGTTGGGAAATCCTTTCATTTCCGAGAAGACTAAATTCGACACTCTGAAAGTATTCTAGAATACCTTTTTCTTGCTATTGGAAACGGAATAGTTTCCGAGGAAACTAATAAGGTATTATAGAAAATCCAAATTATCAAAAAGGCTGGATTGGTAGCCGAAAATATCTTTTCGATTCCGGTACGGTTTCCGCAAATACTGAATCAAAAAATGATATAATCGGAAACCGAAATGGGTTTCCAAGTCTCGATTGAATATTCTATAGGATTTTTGAGGTTTTACACGTTTCTCGAAAGCTTACAAAGTTCATGATTGGACTTCAAAAGCTTAAAAGAGAGGATTAGGAGCTGGAACTTTTTTTCGATATTAGCTTTTGTTCAACTTTAAAGATCTTAATTACACTGAAAAATGGTGATGTATTTAGTATATGTTATTGAATTATTTAGCATTTCCGTTGTGTGAACATTTCTACAAAATGTAAAGCCGTAAGGTACTTCCGAGATAATCTAATGATATTGGTGCATATTGGCGTGGGTTTCATTTTTCAATATGCAATAAAAAATAGATGTTAATAATTCGTAATCGAATGACATAAATAATATATTTGGAATAAAGGTCTTTTTGTCTTCCTTTTTTCATTAAATTTCATTTAAATGAAGATAAAATTATGGCTATCTTGGCTTTCAAAAATTGGAGAAAGTAAAAGCGTTAGAAGTTTCTAACTCCAAGTGAATATTATTAGTGGCTTATTTGTAAAAGTTGTAGGATTGAAGATGTTCTAACTAGGTGGAAAACTGCAACTTGAGTGAACATGTTAGTAAATTAATATCATTTGTATGATAAATAAGCAATATATTTTTACATGGTTTTCACAAGGAAATGGATTATGGATCTATAGAACTGTTGTCTATTTAAATGATTTTTTTGATATTACAGTTGAGGCACGTCGTTTTATTAACGGAAGCTTGATTTCAGTAGGCTTAAAAAGTAAATCACCTACGAGAAAAAGACTGATTGTTATGCTATTTATCTTCATTAAACGTCTTCCATTCTAATTCTTATAATAACTTTTACAGAAACCGGTTTCTCCTCAACCATCAATTGCAATTGACGATGAGAATCTAAAAATTTATCTTGATTGGTCTTATATTTTTTCATCCAATTCCATTGAACAAAACACTGCTGCACTTATTGATTTGTACTGTTTGATGGACCTCAAACTTCATCCTCATCCAACTGCTTTAAGATTTTTATAAGTTTATTTGATGAACGATAAACATCAGCAGTCAAATGGTATTCGTACATTCTGTAAAAAATATAATATCGAACTTCAAGATAAGCCTATACTAGCATCTAATTCTCAACCTGAACAAATAGAAAATAATGAATCATTGGGCAATGATACTTCGAATGATGATGGTGTTTTAACAGTTACTCGAGAACAAAATAATAGCCAACAGCTCTCCGATCAGATTCGCATGTTGCAATCTCCACCAATTTCACCACGGCAGCAAAGCTCATCTAAGCAAAAAGCAAATGAAGTACATAATTGTGAACAATCATTAACAAAAAACCATCAACCAACTAAAAAGCCTGCACGAGCTACTTGCTGTAAACGATGATGAAAACAATGCATAATACTATAAAATCAAATAAAACTTTTCGATCCTTCTTTTCACCTAGTCTTTCAATAATGAACTATCTTTGTTTAAATTACTTTTCATAGAAAAAAAGTACAAAACATCTTTTTTTTGTAAAATTGCTCTCTTCTCATTTTCAAATAGCAGAAAATCTGCCTTTTTAATCATTCTTTTTAACCAAGTACTAAGTAATACATACACAATTACATCTAATACACACTTACTTCTGTTTTAACTTCTTTGTTTTTTTCCTTTTTTTTAAATAAACGACTAGGTTCATCAAATGGACAATGATGGCAACGAAATAGCGTCCAACTCCAAGTTCCACACCGTCGTGCTCCATATGAGAGAAGAATTCAAGCTCAAGCCTGATTATCTATTAATAACAAGAATAACAATGTGTTTCTTAAAGTTCTTATTATCTGAATAATGCAGAAACAATCTTTTTCATATTACAGATGCGAAAAAACTATTGCTTCCTGCTATAAGTAACGAATACACTCACAAGGGAACATTCCCAGGTATCGGAATGCTTTTCAGTCGGAGTTTTGCGCATCTTGTAGTCCTTAGTGAACTATGTCTACCATAAAAAAAAGTTTAGGTTTCTGGTCAATTCTTACCGAGATATTGAGTTTTTAGTAAATTTTCTCTATGGTGTCTCAGTTTTACAGCAAAACTATATTCTTGAATTTTGACCTGCAACTTCGTGTACATAAATGCCTCAGCTAGGCTAGCTTCCATAAGAAAATTCAGAACTTTTCGACAGAGTCTCTCCGAGATAAGAAGTTTTCAAAAAATGCATACTATACATATTATTTATGAAAAAGAATCTGAACCCTAATAGTTATATATCTCAAAGAGACTTTGTCCAAGAGTTCTGAAACTTTCTATGCAAGCTAGCCTAGCTGAGGCCTTTATGTACGCGAAGTTTCAGATCAAAATTCAAGAATATGGCTTTGCTGCAAAACTGGGACACTATAGAGAAATTTGACTAAAAACTCGATATCTCGGTAAGAATAGACCAGAAACCTAAACTTTTTTTATGGTAGACATAGTTCACTAAGGACTACAAGATGTGCAAAACCCCGACTGAAAAGCGTTCCGACAACTGGGAATGTTCCCTTGTCAGTATATTTCAAGCGCTCTGTGTATTTAACGACAAGTAAATATTTTCCTCTTATCTATCCATTCAAAAACTATCGTCATCACATACAGCAATCATAAATGCATAAAAACCCCTATTTGAATTGCCCCCTTTCTAGCTTAAACTAATCGCAAGAAAAACATGTATATTACTCAGGCAAATATGCCCTAACAATGAACCCCCATAGTTTAATACTTGAGTCAATTTAATAGAAACAATCTACCAATCATAGCAAATATCTAAACGACAGTTCGTGACGTCCAAATGCTTCTATCAACATCAAACCGTTAATAACACTCCAGCTACAGTCACAAAGATTCTTGTGGCATCAAGTTGTTAATTCTGATTATTCTGGCAAGATTGGATTGACTATTGTATATAATATGAAAAATAACGTGGTGTATGGTACAAGCCGTGATACGATACCACGTGCATTATTAGAATTACCTGTAGAAAAATTTACCAAAGGTTTTATAATGTGGGGAGCCATTGGTAGTCGTGGATTAATACCAAAAGATGGACCAATCTTTATCGATGAATTTTTGGATGAATATTCATGGAATCGTAATAAAAAAAGAACATTGAACAGTCAAAGATATATTGATTTATTGCAGGAAAGGATAATACCTTCTATTGAACAAATTTATCCTAATAATGATTATATTTATCAAGATGATTGTGATTCAATTCATCGTTCGAAAGATGTATTGGAATTTATTGAAAAAAATATCCCCGATCGAATCATGCCTATGGATCAAGCATCAAAATTAGATGATGTATGGCCAATAGAAAATGTTTGGTCTATAATTCGAACGAAGTTAATGAAAAAGGATTATAAAGATTTATCTCAAGTTAAAACAGAAATCGTGAAAATTTGGAAGAATTTTGACATTAGCTTATGTTTTCGAATGATGTCGAGTATACCAAAAAGATTACAAGCAGTGATCAAACAGGATGGTCGACGAGTTCTTAAGAGTGATTTTTGACTATTTTTATATCGAATACAATAGTTAGCGTTATTGATCTTACTGATTTTAATACTAAACCAGATGCATTTCTCGTTTTTATATTAATAAAAAACACATCTAAGATGCAAGAAGCAAAAAATACATGTTCTGAAAATTTTTCAAAATTTTGTTTGACCTCGTTCTCCCATGCAACTCATGGTAATGGAATATATTTTTTTTGTTTGAAAGCTTAGATGCTGCTCTTCCAAAATCTATCTTCAAAATCAGTCTACGATGGAATATGAGAAAGTTATGAAAAAGTCAAAAAGGGGGTCGAAACTTATGAAACACCCTTTATGATTTTTACTTTCAGTTTAGTATTCGGTTTAATATATGTCGTGAGTTATTACCATTTTTAAAACGAAATCTATAATTCGATTTTTGTTTTTAGTTTGAACAACGATTCGATAGTTGCGGTTCGTTATTATCACTTTTAAAGTTGAAACTACATCTTTATTTTTATTTTTATCTTTGTCTTCGATTTGAAATTTGCGGTGAGTTATTATCATTTATAAAACTAAAATTACATTTGGTTTTTATTTTTAGTTTCATCTGCGACTTGACATTTATGGTGAGTTATCATTATTTCTAAAACTAAAACTAAAACTACATTTTTATTTTCACCTTTAGTTTCGTGTTCAATTTGATATTTGTGGTGAGTTATCATCAAGTTCACAAAGAAAAGAAAAACAATATTTTTGTTTTTATTTTTAGTTAGGTGTGTGTGTGGGTGTAGGGAGGGGATGGGGGTCAGTGTGGATATAGGATGTGGGTGTGTGGTATAGATCTTCAACTTACCCACACTCACACTCCCATGTAAAAAGTGAGTGGAAAAATCGGAATCTAATCGATTTTTTCTGCTTAATAATCGATTCAAATGGCACGATTTTAATCAATTATTTGACTTTAGTCGATTTTAATCTAAGATATTGGCATTATAGCTTACACGAGTGAGTGTGAATCGATGTCGTATATAGGAATGTGTCAAGGGTAGGGCTAGTACTGCACTTACCATTTGTTGACGTAAGGAGTCACAAAAAAATAATAAAAAATTCAAGTTTTTAAGTGAAAACTGGAGAAAAATGCGTTTTTAAGCCATAGCAATTAAAATCGATTAACAGTCGAATAATTGATTAAAATTTGTTAAAAATTGAGAAATCAGGTTGAAATCTGATGAAAATCGTGCTATTTTAATCGATTATTAAGCAGAAAAAATCGATTAGATTCCGATTTTTCCACTCACTTTTTACATGGGAGTGTGAGTGTGGGTAAGTTGAAGATCTATACCACANTCATGTTCATTCGATAATGAACTAAAATAGCTATCTGTTGCACTTGGTTTATCTGTTACATTTGCATTTAAATTTATATTAAGAAAATATTCGACAAGACGTATATGTCCACAATAACATGATAAACAAAGAGCATTTAAACCCCAAGGTCTATATTGATAGAAAATAAAAATAAAAATAAAAATAAAAATTCTTTTTTTAACAATAGGATGTAATTAATTATGTTACTTCAATTTCTCAGAAAGTAAACTAGAAAATTGTGACTTTTCTAGTGATGGAATTTTCTTTACGTGTATATCTCTTCGATTGGTTCACGTTGATTCTTGTATTTGCATAATGTACCAATCAAATTGGAACAACAAATAATGTGACTTAACGTCGACTAATATAAAAACTGGAAGGTATCCTTACTCTTCATAACGTTTTCCAAAATGATGCAATGGTAGCAAACTTCCAATGTTTCAGTTCGTTCAAAGTTGTCTTCAAGACTTTTGATGACAAACTCTGGTAGATGTTGTTATTACTATAGTGATGTTCTTTGTGTTTGACTTCTTTACTACTTTTTCTTTTGAAATATAACATATACGCTCTTCAATTTAGATTTCAAGCAGTAGAGAATAAATTGATGTTTTATGTTGAAATTTTCAATGTTTCTATCAAAAAACTAGTTTGAGATCGGTGCTATGACTAAGAAATACATCAAATCAAATACTAAAAAGAATGCTTGTCTGTATTGTTTGTTTGAGCCTATTTGATTAATTACTCTTGAGTCAAAAGCAATTTATTCACAAAAAGAAGAAGAACAACGATAACTTTGGTTTTGCAAAAGAATTATTCGATGTTGCTTTATAAAATTAGTATTGGAAATAAAGGATAATGATGGATTATAGTCATAGAATTAATGAAAGAGTAATGGTAATATATTATATGTAACTAATCTTCATCATAATACTCTGCATATTTGTGATCATAACATTTCTTCAAATGACCATGATGACCATATTTTTGAGCAGCCGCTTTGGCACTCACTTTTTGTTCTTTTAATCTTTTTTCCATATTTTCTGCCAATCGAATTAACATTGCAACCATACCTCTTTCGTCATCTAAATGTTCTACTTCCTTAAGCAATATTATTTGTTCAGTAATTAATGCAATGGCTTCATCCCTTCGATGGTTTTTTATGAGTTCAGCGATTCTATCATCCATTTCTCCTGAAACTTGAATTGCATGCAAGGTTTTGACTTTTGGATCAATCGATTGAATGAGTGATTCATCATTGACGAATGTTATCGATAATTGTCCAGTTACAACTAATGGTTCATCATCGACATGACCAGGCAAATTATATCTCAATTGATAATTGACAACTTCAACTTCTGTACCTTCGGACACTGTTCCAGCAACTGTAAACTCACAAAGAATAACGCGAAGATTGTCTACATGAAGATCACCAAGATTTGCACCACATGCTACATTTTCATGACCCCATATTTTTGTCACAATAGCATTATTACAACCACGAATCATTAGTTGTGTTTGTGTTCCACAAACATCAAAAACACTCTGCAGTGCTTTTGTCATCAAGTCAATGATAACTTCAGCCGATTCAAGAAAAAAGAATTGACCGCATCCAGCTTGAGCAATGCCTTTCATTATTGCGGCATCAAAATCTTCTCCAACACCGAACGAATCAATTATAATTCCTTTTTCGCTATATTTTGCAACAGCCTTTGTGATTTCTTCTTTGGTCTTTAATCCAACATTCGCTAATCCATCGGATAAAACAAACATACGCTTGGAAAATCTGGGATGTGGATATTTTTCAAGAAGATTGGCACCTGTTTCGATACCGCCCGATAAGAAAGTTTCACCACCAGTAGTTATTCCTTTAACAACTGAATAAAGAACTTCACGACCCGATACTGGTGAATTCTCAAACACCGTCCAAACCTTTGTATCATAAGCAACAAGATGTACAACATCATCATCATGCAATAAATTGAGTACAGCGATAACAGCTTCCTTCGCAAATTCCAATTTATTGTTCGATGACATTGAACCACTACGATCAAGTATCAAAACCATATTGATAGGATTTCGTCTTTTTGTATCAACATTATCTTCGATTTTCTTTGTTTCGATTTCAATTCTAGCTCTCTTTGTATTTGTTACACCAATAACTGCATATTGATTGTCTGGAATACAACGAATATTAACCGAAGCCATTGTTTCAGTGCTCATTTTTTTTTTTCGTTCTGGTTTCTATCCAATCTACAATATGGAGAAATCCACATTTAAACATATCCATAGGGTAAGATCAACATCTAAAGACATCTTTAGTTTTTCTGTATACTGCGGAATAGTTCTGAGTGTGCTCTATTCGAGAAAGGTGTGAGTGTGATTGTCATCGTTTCTATTATTTCGAAAGATGTTATCTTGATCTGTGAGCATCTTTCCTATATCCAAAAGTTTATAGAGATTAATCAATTCTATTCTGGTAAGATTATTCTGATCTAGGGTGTAATGTCAAAAGTCGTTTATTTATTGCATAGTTTGACTTTTCTCTCTTTGAAATTGAAGCTGTAAACGAGATTGACATGCACAACTCATCTTCATGGTATGAAACTATCTAACGGAAAAAGGCAATAGTTTTTCAATCGCTGTCCTGAAATAACAATTGAAACTAGGTGTAAAGTTAAAATAAGTAAATTGCAAAGATTGATACTTTACTTACTTTTATGTTGCTTTCTTTCACAAACTACGATGCAACTCAATATGTTCTCCCTATTTATATGATTCATCAGAATTGCGTAATGTTTCACAAGTATTGCAACATACAGCAACAAATAATAGAAATACATGACATTTAAAAAAAAATGCGTAAATGTAATAACATGAGTCATAAGGATGCTCTGCTTAGTTGAATAGAAATAAAAAAACTAAATCTATACTTTCAAATCATCTTTTAATGCGAAGTCATACAAGTTTTGATCTGCTGAGAAAGGACCTCGATTTTCCTTAGAAGATTTTTTTTTCTCGTTGAGAGCAGATTAGGGACGGCTTGAATAGTGATGTTTTCACAGTATGCATAAAGAATTATTCAGAAAATCTATGAGCTCAACAGCACTTGAAGTATCTCCGAACATATTTAGGTGTTTGTGTGAGTCTAACTAGCGATGCGGACGAGTGTATGAACCTTGAGAAAGCTAAAACATTCGTACAACCGGCACTCATATTATCAGTCTGCTCGGTCCACAAGCATACTCTAAGGTTTGTGTTTCAAAAAAAAATGTTTTTCTCCTTGAAAGCTAGTTAAAAAGAATCATGTTTCAATGTTAATAAAATCTATATTTAGATAGGAATTACATGGAAATACAAATGCTTGCAGAGAACCACACATTTTTCGTTATTTTTTTCTCTATAAATATGAATGAAATAGAAACATTCAAAATGATGACCTAGACAGTCATGATGATCAATATAAAATATAAATTACTCGAGGAAAAGACAAATCATAAAAATATGTAAAAAGCCAGAGATTGACCAGAAAATAGTGACTATCCACAAGTCAGATCCTATAAGAGATCCTGATACAAAACAAATATGTGGGTGTAAATGAGTAAAGATAACCAACATCGTCATTCACATTACCATAGATAAGAGCATTGCCTATCCACATTTCATGTT